ATCTATCACCAATTGCATTCAGTTAATGCACAACTAGATCTCAAGGAGAAAAAATAAAGTGACAAAAAGTGGCAGGTGAAGAAATGTATTTTCAGCCTGCAAATTTTAAACACTGTTAATGTTCTAAAGTTTTTTACCCTGACCTTTTAAGTATATGTGTGTATATATACGTATGTATGTATGTGTATCTATATAAAATTTAAATGCCTTTTGATGTTAAAATCTGTAGTAACAGCTTGCAATTTGCTTGCAGTGTACTCTGAGCTGTGTATTTAAATGCACACATCCTCTTCAACACGGGGTTTATAATTCTTTTAAAGAATGTCACTTAATAACAGTTATTACTGTTATGGTAAAGGGAAACCACAGCATCCATCGGGATGAACTGCTGATTCTCTTCCTGAAATCTCAGATAATATCAGATAGATTATTCTGCTTAGCCTTTCTCAGCAGGTTGCCCATTATATCTCTTTGTTTTTAATCTATTGTGTTTCCTCAACAGGGATCCTCCTGAACTATGGGAATAATGTAAATGTGTCTCCTTGCCTTTCTAGCAGCTAAACTGTGTTGCAGTAAATTAGCTGCAAACTGCTTCAAACATGATGTAACATGAAAATTCTTCACCGTAAAACATTTGCAAACTCTTGATGGCAGATGACCTGCTAGTTTGTGCAAGGGAGGAGAGATTAGGAGTGATGAGAGGTGGATCTGTTCATCCATTCTGATGGCACACCTTTCTTGGGGCATATGGTGCTCTCATCCAAATTCAAACGGCAGCACAAATGTGAAGAATAATTGCCCATTAAAATGGCTGTATATTTTTATGGCTTTGATACAAAATCTGCCCCCTGTTGTTTTTTGCATCTGCTACTCTTTCATCTATCCCAAAGCTTTAAAACTTTAATACACACTGTATAACCCTTAAGTATTTTTTTGCCAGGTTAGATTCCTCTTTTTTTGGGAACTCAACCTTTGTTGCTGTTCCTTCAGTCTTTGTTTGCCCAGGCCTAGGCTGAAATACGGTGCCTACAAAGTGCACCTCCCTGGCATGTTCATTTAAGAAAAAATTAGTCCAACCAATGCTTCTATTACATCTTTGGGGAGAAATTAAGATTTGATTAAATTTCATCTGTGAACACAAAGATTAAGTTTCTCTTTCTCATGCTCATATTTGCTTTCGTTAGTTACCTAAATTTAACTGATTTACTAACGTGAACCTGTTAATTCCAAAAGCTTCTTTCATTTGCTTAACTATTGCAATTTGCTGACCTGGTTTCATGCTTGAGATCTAAACTGAAATTTGAGGAAGGTGATATCCTGACAGTGTTTTCATGTTAAGTGTAAGAAGAGAGAACTTTTTAGATAAAATACATTGTAATAATACATTTTATAGTTTTATCTTCTTAAATATAAATCTAGAACAAGTAAGTTCAAAGAAAAAAACTAACATAATGTTCCTAAACAAAACCAAACTTCCTTTAGGCTGTAGTGGGTGATGATTTGTATACTTTAGGATAATTATATTAAGCAAAGCCAAGCACTTCCACAGTATATTGTTTATACTCTAATTTATTTAATTTGAGAAAGTAAAATTGCAGTTTGACTGTAGGAACAGATTTTTTTGTGTGTGTATTGTCTCATTCATATTTGAATAGCTGAATGAATAACTACAGAACCAATGGGGCTATTGAATGGAAATGTGAATTGTTTCTATGGCTTGATATTTGATTCTATATTGTCCTTAGAAAAGTCTTTTGGGTTTTTTTAGCCTCATGGTATCACCTGATATCATCAATGTGTATTTGGAGAAATCTGTCTTTTCTCTGTCACAGATCACTAGAATTCCAGTCATCAAATTACTTTGATGAATTTAAGCTACTTTTGCTTAGAAGTGGGCTCAGATGCTTCCCTGCTGAGAGTCAAAGACATTTTCAACCCCATTATAATAGCATTTTCACTGCCTGAGTTTCAGCAGTTTGGCACTGAGGCACTAAGGAAGGTTGACCTACAAACTGTAAGTCATTAAAATCTTTACCCCTCCTGGCTAGTATATTCATTACTTTGGGGACTGGTTAATAGCATTTAATGCTTCCTGATGGGACAGCCCTTTTCATAAACTTGTTTTTATGAAGTCCATTCTTCAGTTGTGTTCTAATGGTGCCACTTCTGCTGGTTATTTTGGGGTGAGGATATTAAAAAGTTGGTAGCAAAATAAATTCTGTGGTTATTACATATTCTTAACCATCTGATTTCTTAGCTGGGCTGAAGTAGGAAAACATGGGGCTTTTCTGTGACAAAACTTGTTGATTATTTTACTTCTAATCTTAATCTTTAATGTTAGTACCTGGAAATACAAAGCATATTTTCAGATGCTCACATTTTCAGATGGACCTAAACCAATTTCTGGGGTGGGTATAATTCTCTTATGCATAAACTCAGCTGAAGGTAAGACCTTGCAATGCCACTCTTAGTCCTCTATTTCTCAGGTTCAGTTTCCTTCTTGTCTGATCCTCTTCCTGCAGAACTGCAAATCACTGCTCTGCCTTCTGCTGATTGCTTCTACAAGCTTTTTTAGGGCTTTGCTTTACTTTAGACATTTTATGCTCCATGACTTTATTAAGGAAACAAGGCAAGGCAAGCACAGCAGAACAATTACATTACTTCAGGCTTTTCATTCTAAAACATCCTTCGTGTTGCAGATCCTTTGAAAATGGTAGAAATCACTGTCTTAGCATCTCCCATGAATGCTGAGCATCCATTACAGGTTTTGGTTTTGGTCAGCATTTATGGGCTAAGTGACTCTTGTGCTATCTGTTTTCTCTTTCATAAGAGAAAGTCTTCTAGCAGAACAATTACATTACTTCAGGCTTTTCATTCTAAAACATCCTTCGTGTTGCAGATCCTTTGAAAATGGTAGAAATCACTGTCTTAGCATCTCCCATGAATGCTGAGCATCCATTACAGGTTTTGGTTTTGGTCAGCATTTATGGGCTAAGTGACTCTTGTGCTATCTGTTTTCTCTTTCATAAGAGAAAGTCTTCTTGCTCAGCTACGTGCTATCTCTGTTTTCCTGCTGTTTCTCTTTCATAAGAGAAAGTCTTCTTGCTCATTAACAATGTCATTTTAGGGGTTTTGTATTTTATGTTCTTTTTGACTCATTCCTTGATGGGACACTCTGCTTATCCACTGACATTTCTTGGTAGAAAGCATTCACTGTCAAAGATTTAAGGTCAGTGGCTCTTCTTGTAATTCTTTCCAAGGTGTGACCACCACAAAGAGTAAAGAGAATTTAGGATAAATGCTCAATTATTGCAAATTGTGTATTTTAATATGTCTGTGTGAGCTTCATGTACATTATATATATGTAGTATTTTTCAAAAAAAATCTCCATGGTTTCCCTTACTATTTCTCTAAGACTTCTTAAATGCAGCTGATTGCAAAGTGATCAACAGTATATTGAGTTCTGCAAGTGCATCTTTCTGATTTTGACACACACTCTTTTTACAGAAAGTGGCATAAAAATACAGTGTTTGCACTTTTTGAGACAGTTGTAATTTATTTGTATTGCCATAAGGTTGGTTTATGTTGTATCACAGACATGTAAATCTTGATGAAATTACTGTTAACCTTTTTGTCAGTGACAAGGACCTAGCAAAGCCCCAAAGCCATAGCAGTAAGGCAATAACGGAGAAGTCACAGTAATTACAATATTTGCCTTCACATGTTCAGCCAGCAAGGCCAACAAGTTGTGAATTTTTCATTTTCTTTTTCAAATTCAAGGTTTCATTTAATGCTGCAACAGATGAAAGACAAATGATGGTTGAAATCAATTCATATTTCAGATTTGAAAAACATGGTGTGTTCTACATCATTATTTCCATTTGTTTGCTTCTTATTAGGGCTTTGCTAATCAATATTTATTTCTTGTATCTCTTTAAAAACTGATAAAAAAGTTCAACATAGTGAAGCACAACTGATATAACCTGAGTGCCAACAGAGCTGGATTTGATTTTGTCTGTCTCACTGATTAAACCATTCAAGAACTTGTTCTGTTCTCACATTGACAAGCAATATATGTACAGGGGTGAAATAATGTAATGAAGCACTGGTTAAAGAACTGGCAGAGACAACAAAGTGGAAGGTTTTCCTGTTTGTTTGTTTTGTTAAAATTGTTTTTCAGTTTAAAAGCTTATGAAGAGAGCAGCTTTACAGACATTTTAGAGGGAAAAAAAGCCCTCTAATACTGTATTGCTGTTCAATTTTGAAGTCTCAGATGGAAGGGTAATGAATGTTTACACTTAGTTGCAATGACAGTATAAACATGTCTGAGTTAATTACTTTGTTTAAATTGTTTCTGTTGGGTCTGAATATTATCTGGACTCAGGTATTTCTAAACTCTGCAAATCTTGCCTTTGAAGGAAAGAAAGGTACTGTTCTGCACATGGTGCAAACCCCCAAAAAAAGAGAAAAAAGAGAGAAAACTCTTCTCTCTCTTTCTCATTACACAGTTCAGAGCCAGTTAATAACCAACTCTTGAACAAAAGCAAAGCTCTGTTCGATTGGCATCACTGGATAATTTAGATGACTTGAGGTCACCTAACTGCCTAAAGTCTCACCCCCACTCCAATGAGGGCTGACTTTTGAAGTCAGATCCAATAATGTGATGCAAATGTCTCTGGCATTATAAATTTGAACCTGAACTTGGACCTCGGGAGTCTCCTGGTAGTAGTGTTGGCTGAACCATTCAACATGATTTTTAACAGTGTCTCTGAAGAAACAGAGAACCACTCTGATAATGCCATCCAAATTCCTAGTTCATTGTCTCACATCGACATACAAAAATGTGGAAGAAGATGAGTCAAAAGTCTAATAATTCACTTTTTTGATGACTCCCTCCTCCAGTTCCAGGCAAGCTTTAATAGAAGTACAACCGTGCTGCTTGTTTAAGAACATCAGATCCATCTGAATATTGCCCATTAACTCCTCTTTCTCCTCCACAGTGCCAGGATTTCCCTACCCTGCTGCGACTGCGGCTGCTGCTTACAGAGGTGCCCACCTAAGAGGCCGAGGTCGCACGGTGTACAACACGTTTCGTGCAGCAGCTCCCCCTCCTCCCATCCCAGCCTACGGCGGGTAAGGAGCTCAGCTTCCCTCTCCTCTTAGCATGGATCTCTGGAGTCTGAGCACTTGTTGGCTGTGGTGCATGTGGGTCGTGTCTCAGCGCCGGCGTTGGCTGGGCTACACCTCACACAGGGGATTGAAAAATGACTGTAATTTGTCCTGCCATGGTTGGTGGCCTTAAGCATTTCAGATGTCACATATTGTTATGTAAATGCTCTTAGAAACGGAATGCTTTGGAACAGAGAAATTGTTTCAGTTAAAGATATATTTTTGGTGATTGCCAACATCTGGTTATTAAGGAGGTTGGAGCAAGTTAACTTCTTTTTCTTCAAATTGTCTGCTGAAAGTTGTCTCTGGACCTGAAGGCTTAGTGTTGTTTCTTGTTTTTTTCTTCTTTTTTTTAGTGCAGTTTGCTTAGTTGTTCTAGTTGCTGTCTTCGCCATGATAGGAATCTGGGATGCTTCTCAGGTTTGGTGATTGCCAACATCTGGTTATTAAGGAGGTTGGAGCAAGTTAACTTCTTTTTCTTCAAATTGTCTGCTGAAAGTTGTCTCTGGACCTGAAGGCTTAGTGTTGTTTCTTGTTTTTTTCTTCTTTTTTTTAGTGCAGTTTGCTTAGTTGTTCTAGTTGCTGTCTTCGCCATGATAGGAATCTGGGATGCTTCTCAGGACAATGATTTAGTGCAGTTTGCTTAGTTTTTCTAGTTGCTGTCTTTGCCGTGATAGGAATCTGGGATGCTTCTCAGGACAATGATTTTGAGAATGCTTGTTTAAATTTCACTGCCAGTCACCTACATTTACCAAATAATGTCTCACTAAGGAACAAAGGAGAGGAATTTGTAGCAGTAATTTCTAAAAACTCAATAATGTTCTTTATTTCAGAAGATTATTTTGGGGGTTAGGTATATTTTTTGAGGGAAAGAAGGAAGAAACCCATTGTCCTGTAGCTCTACAAATGCCAACACAGAAAGGCTTTTCATGCTGCATGTGATATTTAAAAACCTGAACAACACTGGCAAAAGATTTTCAGCTGTTAAGAAACTGAGAAATCTGGAAAATCAGAAAACCTATCAGAGTAGAATTCTGTCATAAAATTGGAAGTAGATTTTCTAATACCTCTCATAGAGCAGCAGGATCTTTCTGAGAAGGGGTCAGGAAGGCTTGGCACAGGGAGTAAGGGAAGGTGATATCTCTCTCTCTCTCTGCCCTCACTAAAATCCCATTCAACAGCTCATCTGCTCCCACTGGGGGTATCCCCATGGATGGGAGCTGGCAGCACAGCCCCCCTGTCCTCCTGCTCTGTTCTGGTGGGTGATGTGTGCCCTGCACCAGTTCCCCCAGTTTCTGATGAACCCTTTGTTCCATTAAGCCAGAAATCATGTCCTTTCCAGACAATTTTGCTGATCTCATCAGTCAGTCTTTGGGCTAAGTTTTCAGGGATATTTAAGACAGGCACTTTGGCCATTCCATCACATTGGGGCAGTTCTCACCTCAGAGAAATAAGATGTTCTAAAAACTAATACCAAAAATGATGCCACAGTCAGGTTATTTTGTAAAAGTCTAGTCCATTGTTTTGTTTGAGTGTTTTGTGAAGTTTAATAAGAAAAATAATAGTAATTTAATAAGCAAAACAATATTGCCACTACTGGAAGAAGACACTGTGTTTCCAGCAGATTGCCTGACTAACCTTTGGGCAAGAATGGTGTCCCATCAAAATTATCCAGTAGTTGCTAAGATTCTTGTTTAGGGTTAGTCCAGGTATTTGAACATGGCAATGATGGGAGCAAGTTTAGAATGCCCTGCATGGAGATTTCTGTTGGAATGTCTCAGCTACCAAGTGAATCCCACATAGAAGGAATGTGGATTTTTCATCTCTACTTGTTTACAAATAAATTCTTCAATTTGAGCATACACTCCAATAAGCAGTGAGGTAACATAGGTTACTGTCACTTTCATGATGTCATTAACATCACATCTAATACAAAGTCATATAGTATAGAAGAAAATACCAGCCATGTGTGGTACAGTTTTTGAATTGGACAGTACTTTTGTGGTTAGCATTTGCAAAATGAGTAAATACTTTCTGACTAGTAAGTAACTTAAATTTGCCTTAATTTAAGAGGCCACATGTGGGTGCTCTGTGTGTGTGTGTGTGTGGTATGTAGATTTTTATAGTTAAGTTAGTACAGTGACTCAGCAGAAGGAATTAAATTTCCATGTGTAATATATGTATATTCTCATGTAATTGTACTGCTTATTTTCAGCATCCTTAGGCAGTAAGTTAGATGTGTAAGTGTTGAGAACTCTGGTTATAAGTCAATATAGAAGCTTTGCACTGCAGGCAGGGTCAGCAGTGTTCCAGCTGAACTGGTTTCAAGAGTTCAGGTCAGCACTCTTACATTCTTCTGCAGGGTGGTTTGACAGGTTGGATGAACCTCAATACCTTCATGGCCTGTCCTAAAAGCTGATTTCAGAGGGAGCCACACATTGCAGCATTCAGAAGTCACATCTTTTCCTTGCTCTGATGGCTTTCAGCTGTCTGAGATCAACCCTTGGTCATCTAGGGCTCAGGCTGGCAGTCTAACACTTAATGACTGCCATGATGTGACTCTACAGAAGTTTTCAATTACTAAGCCCTGCCTTAATTCAGGTAGTTTTAGTTCAGCTATTAATCAGCTTTAATTTTCTCCATCCACCTATGCTTTCTAACAAGGCCCTGCTTTCTGATGCACAACACAAACTGCCCAATTCCATAGCTCCTGGATCAGTGCAGGTGTGGTATGTGTCTCTGTTGCACTGATCCACAACTGGATTAATCAAGGTTTATTCTGATATAATTTCCTTGGCCTAACGTGTCAGATCTCATGCTAGTAACTTCAATCAGATGGTAGTACAGTTTAGAATTTCTTTGTGGGACTTTGTTCTGTGCTCACTCGTTAGGCACTCTGACCTATCAAAGAGGCAAAAAGGAATTTTCATCAGAAAAAAATCCTTAATCAGTGTAAATTATAAGAATGTGGTTTTCAGTCACGGTGGGAGCAGGAGTCAAGGAAAATTACAGAGATAATAAAGAGATCACAGAGAATGAATCAGCTTAGAGAAGGAAGCAAACATCCTGGAATATCATTTGTTGATAAGAAAAATGCAAAAAGCTTGGAATGCTCTTTTGCAATTAATTTAGTAGCCATTTCTCATTTTTCACTCCAGGAAGGAGCTCAGACTTACAGCCAAGCAAACAGTTTCATACTAAAGTATTTTCCTTCAGGGAAAAAAAACATTTTTATAATGGCAGACATAATTATAAATGGACATTAAAATCCACTAGTGTTTAGTCAGAAAACCAGTGCTTTTCAAGAAAGACCCTACATGTAATTGTGAAATACAAAGCTGAAGTTTGAAATTACCTCTTTTTTTTCTTTTATTTCATTAACCTTAGAAAGCTTATTACTGAAAAATATCGTCGTGGATTTGAAATCACCTCCTTCACATTTACCTGTTTATATTACATTGTTTTGGCAATGAAATTGAACTATTTAAATTTGGAAATCAGCTGTAAAGCTAAGAGCATGTGTCTGTTAGACTAGTGTGACCTGCTGATGCTCTTCTCAGCAGCTCTGCCTCCTGATCCCTGCTCTCCAAGAGAAACCTTCCCATAGTCTCCCTGGAACCTCTAATTGTTCTTGGTCATTGCTGCCCATTTGATACTGACTGAGACCTTTTCTTAGAAACTATTTATTTACTGACCAAGTTAGGAAATGGCAAAGAGTCTCAGGCTGTAAGACAATCCAGATCTTGTGGTCCTAAGGCAAAACAAGTCAGTTTGGTTCCTATTAAAGCTGTTTTCTGCTGTGCCTCCCCTTTACTGGGACCCAGCAAACATGGCCCACTTTGCTAGCTCTGAGGGAAATTGTTAAGTGTAGCTGCATGAAAAGCCCTTGTTTTCTTATAAATCAAAGAACAGCACACATGCTTTAAAATGCTTCATTTAAAAATGAAATTACTGCTCATGAGAAACACAGCACTACCTCAGTAATTAATGGATCCTTTACTTGCAAGTGAGGCATTTCACTAATTCCACGAGATAGCGTCTTGTTTATTAGCTCATGGAAAATACTTCATTTTTAGCATCTGTGGCATCATTTCTAATGCCTTCAAATACTAGAACGTGCAGCTTGCTCATAACCACATATATGTATAATTCATTTATGTGCCATAAAACCCCAGTGACACTGAAATGAGGGAGTAAAGCTTCGTTTGTGGGAGGATACTGAACACTGAAAATTAAAGAGCATGGCAAGCTTAGCCCCAGCACTGTGCTGCAGGAGAAGGGGGAACTAGAGATGGTCACATGTAGCATGGGAGGAACACAGTGATCAGATAAAGGAGGAGGTTGCTGTGGAGCTGTGAGCTTAGGGGGCTCCCTGGGAGTTGCACAGCAAGATTGGTGACTTGCTTGAGGAACAAAGCAGTTACTGTTTTAAACTGACTCTATCCCTTTCATACATGCTTTCTTGGGATGTCTTCCATGTTGGGAAGATTTGAGCCTACTGCTCCTGTGATCTTGCAGCTTCTCTCTGGGTACTAGATAGTGTTTTACACAAAAACGTTTTTAAATTATAAAAGCACCCACAAGACATCAATGTGAAAGCATTCACCTCTGTCTTTCTGGGATTATCTATTTTATTGCCAAACTGCCTACTAAAGATGTAAGAAATGTCCTAATAAAGCAGGACCTGCTAGTAAAGATACTCCTCTGGCAGATTTGGGATGGAGTTGAAATTCCATCCATTGCCAAATGAAAAGACAAAGTAGCAGGTTTTTTTCTCTTTGGCAAACTATCCCATTTTGATGCCTGCAGTTTCTTTTGGTCTCTGCAGCAACTAGTGTGTCAGCATTTTTGAGGTTCATTCACCAAATAGTAAAACAAGATGAGTGTGAAGCTCCATCTTTATTCTGCTGTCAGAAAATCCCAGTGTCACTATATCTGGCAGGATAGCAGTAGTAGACAGCAGT